CCTCTCTCTCTCTCTCTCTCTCTCTCTCTCTCTCTCTCTCTCTCTCTCTTTTCTTGTCTCTTTTCTATTTTCTTCAGATTTCTTTTGTTTTTTCTTAATTTTCTGCCTGTTAGCAGGAATCAGCCATGGTGAAGGACACCACTGTCAGTTGGCAAGCTTCCAAACCAAAATCAGCCGGAGTAGGTTGGGATTGTCTGATATTTCCAAACTTGGTGGATCTTGACCAAGTCCAGGCAATCCCAGCTGATTTTCAGCCAATCCTAGTAGATTAATTTATTTCTGTTTTCTGCTGGTTTTCGTCTGTTCAGCCGAACTCTGGCTGTTTTTCCAAAATACTGATACCTTGGGGTCATCCTTTAATAATCCTGATCCAACTTGGTCGATACACATAGGAAGACCGATTTTGAATACTTTGGAAACATGTAACAAGATAGTCTTATAAGTTCGAATACCCTTTATATTCTTTTATCAATCTTCTATTATTCTTGAGATAATATGCCCGATTTTGCAGCTATTGCTGCTCTAACACTAAATATTGCTAATACATGCTGATTTTATGTGCATAACATCCAAAACTTTCTTGATGTATATGATGTGTGATTTATGTGCTACTCTATTTTTTATCAGTTTGCTGGATATAGTGGGGGCTTGCTTTTGGCCATTATATCTTAATTTAATTTTGGTGAATTGCTAGGTCATCTCTGCAAAAGGTCAAGAGGTCATTGATACTGCTCTAAAAGCTGATCTGGTTATTTTGAACACTGCTGTTGCTGGAAAGTGGCTTGATGCTGTTCTCAAGGAACGAGTTCCTCAAGTTCTGCCAAAAATCTTGTGGTGGATTCATGAGATGCGAGGGCATTACTTCAAATTAGAATATGTCAAGCATCTTCCTTTTGTTGCAGGAGCCATGATCGACTCTCATACGACAGCTGAGTATTGGAAAAATAGGACTCGTGACCGACTAAAGTATGTAAGAAGTGCAAAAGTATCATATAGTATTTGCAACATGTTATTCATATCTGGGGATATCATCCTTTGTTTGTTTAACTGGCACAATTGATTAGATATATAGAGTCCACCAACATTTTAATACTTCTAGTTTGAAGCCATTCAGATAGTTCCTAAACAAGAAATTTTGACAGGTTTTCTATAGCTAATGAACATTTCAATTTTTTATGCTTATTTTATGTATCTACCTTTCCTTTTTTTTCTGTGATAGTATAGGAGATTAACTCATTTCAGGTAACAAAGTATTTCTCTCTCTCTTCTATTATTTTTCCTTCAGTATCATATTGCTCTTTTGTGATGAAGAGCGAACTTGGGATCTGCACAACTCAAAAATATTTTTTCGAGGCAAAATGCACCATTCTGATGTAGTAGATGCTGACTTAATGAATGAACTATATATGCATCACATCAATTACCAGAGGAACATGGTGTTTGATCTGAAGATAGACCACAACATCAAATATTAGCTATTGAGTACTTCTATGCATCTCTGAAATTGTTTTGATGTGCAACTTGGTGGCAAAGTTCGTAAAACTTTTTTCCCTGTTCTGTAGCTAACAGTTCATTGTTCTGTACTTCTAGAATCCAGATGCCAGAAACATATGTTGTTCACCTTGGGAATAGTAAAGAGTTGATGGAGGTTGCTGAAGATAGTGTTGCAAGAAGAGTTCTTCGTGAGCATATACGGGAATCCCTTGGTGTGCGGAGTGGCGATCTTCTCTTTGCCATTATAAACAGTTAAAAATCTCTTTCCTTGTTTCATATTACAGTGATTAGAAATGTCCCTTCTAGTACTTTGAATATTCTGGAAGTTTTAAATTCAATTTAAATAGATTTTTTATTAACATGTATGATGTATCTGTTTATTCTGTATCATTATTTACTTATTCTAGTTTAAATCCAAAAAATACAGCTGTTTCATGTTTCTTTCCACCTGGAGATGGAATGTTGCATTTTTTGGGTTCAATGTCAGCAGGTGTCAGCATGTTATGGTATCCAGCCAGATCTAATGTGCTTGAGGAGAAAGATGTGGAATCATTTGAAAGTTCTCTTCAATATGTCCTTTGACATATGAAACCTGCTTGCGAAAGACGTAAATTTATTTGAAACTTCTCTGAAATGCGCCCTACTATCAATGCAACTTGTGTGCATGTTTTTGTTTCTCCCTATATCAGTATCTCAAACTCCCAGAATAATTTTGTTTCTAGAATAGTTATGAATTATGTAATATTTTAGGAAATCTTGTCAAGCTTTGGTTTGCAAACACCTTGTACAAGAATTGGCTACTAGCACTTAGCCTGTATAAGATATTGGCCAATACATATTAGATGTACCCAAGAAAAAGGAAAACCTACCACTAGATGTGTGAATTTCCATTTTATTCTCTACAAAATTGTAAGACCTTCTTCTTTTGGAAAAATAAGTTATCGTGAAACAGTTACCCACGAAAAAGGAAAACCTACCACTAGATGTGTGAGATTCTATTTTATTCTCTAAATAGTTGTAAGACCTTTTGGAAAAATGAGTTTTTCTGAAACAATTAGAAAGACACGTAAAAACTGCTGAGGCACAAAAGTTCTTCAAAAATGTTCATTTTGTTGGCTTCTTTATGTTCTTTCTTGAAAATTGGCACTAAATGGACTTTGACATTGGATATTGCTGTTATATTGAGATTGTCTAAAATAAATGAAGGAAATTCATAATTGCAATCTTAAATTTTATCTCAAACAGCTCAGTTAGCCTCATACTCACAATTATTAATCTAGTCAGTGTTCTGTAATGTTGGAAGCTCTTCTGAGCCCTGGAATTTTTCTTCTAAGTCAACAATTGTTTTGTGTGATCAGATTCCTGATGCTCTGATTGCTTTTGCATTTTGGCCAGTCCTTGGAGAGTCTCTTACAATTTCTGCGACATCAAGATATGCATGTCTAGGTCACACCCACTGTTTCTTGGGCATTGTACAGTTTACAGTTCACACTACTGTCTCTTGTGATGAAAGTAAATGTGAGCAATGCTCATTGTCTGGTAAAGGTTTGATTCATCTAGAAATATAGATACTTCATTTATCAAGGAGGCCAGTGGAATGATGCATCACCACAAATGTTGTGCCATTTGGTGGTTCTCGTTCACATAATTTCATTTTCATGGGATGTAATCACACTGGCATGACAGATCTAACGTTTACCGTATCTGTGTTGGTCATGTGACCATAGTTTGGTTTTGCATTAGCAAGCCAGGATTTGTTCACTGTTCTTTATACAGGCAAGGTATGCATGCCTTGAGCCATACATGTAGGATAGCACACAGGTAACTTAAATCCTTAAGTCTCATTTCAAGTCATAATGATTCTGTTTAGTAGTGTAATCAGGACTTAATGTCAAATAAATAATTTTACTCATGAACTAGCATTTTGCAATTTTTAAGTGGTTAAATTTGTCATTTAGTTTAAATATGGAGAATACCAACTTTAATTTTTGGATTTTGTTGATTTTGACATGTAAGTTATATAGCTAGGAAAAGGTTTATTATGTGACTTTCTGGAAGTTCTGTATTATTCTGTGATTTTTATCTTTCTGAACTCTCTTCCTAAGGTAATTCAGAGACGATGCAGGTGTTTCACGTGGGAAAGGGCAAGATCTATTTCTTCACTCATTTCATGAAAGTCTTAAACTGATCCAAGAGCAGAAGTTGCAAGTGCCGTCAATGCATGCAGTTATAGTTGGAAGCGATATGAATGCTCAGACAAAGTTTGAAACAGAACTACGTGATTTTGTTTTGAAAAGAGGTATCCAGGATCGTGTTCATTTTGTCAATAAGACACTGGCAGTTGCTCCATACTTGGCTGCAATTGATGTGCTTGTCCAAAATTCCCAGGTACACAGGAGTCAGGACGCCCTTGTGATTACTGATAATTGCTAACCTGAAAAATATGATTTCTATTCGTCTATTTCTTGTCAAAGACAATTGCACTCCGAGCTTTTTTTTTTTTTAATTGGTAGAAACATGAGTTGTAGTATCAATTCTAAAAGCTTGGTATTTTTCTTTATAAATTAGGCCCGTGGAGAGTGCTTTGGGAGGATAACAATTGAAGCTATGTCATTTAAGTTGCCAGTGTTGGTAACTCTCTCTCTCTCTCTCTCTCTCTCTCTCTCTCTCTCACACACACACACACACACACACACGTGCACATTAGTAGTGGTGTTGCATTTCTTTCGTGTATATATCTTCTCTAAGCCTTGTGATGGTTTCTTAACTTTGTGATTTTAGGGGACTTCTGCTGGTGGCACCACGGAAATTGTTGTGAATGGATCTACGGGCTTACTGCATCCTGTTGGTAAGGAGGGTGTCATCCTGCTTGCAAAGAACATGGTAAAACTTGCTACCCACGTCGAGCGAAGGTTGACGATGGGAAAAAAGGGTTATGAGAGAGTGAAAGAGAGGTTCATGGAGCATCACATGGCAGAGAGGATTGCGTTGGTTTTAAAGGAAGTGCTAAATAAATCAGCGGCCCACTCTCATTCGTGAGAGGTCTCGTATGTAGATTAAATGGAGATTTTCAAGATCCTGCCCTGCCAAATTTTGATATGTTTTCTTCTTTTTTCTTTTCTTTTGTATTTGTTTTTTTTTTTTTTGTCTATGCTAGTGTACTTCCACACTTGAATGAAGTGATTGTTCATGGCCGTTCTCTTTGCGGTTATGTAATTTGATGGTTTGATGGTTAGATTGTTGAATGAAGGATGGTTCTTGGTCGGTAGAAGAAAAAATGGGCATCGATTGCTTGATATGTGTAGGAAAAACAAATAGGCTTGAAAATTTCAGATGGTGGAAAGTTCATTGATCAGAAATTCTTTATGAGAAACACTGGCCTCTCGATTCGGTCTAGGAATTGATGATATCCTGACCAAGCCAATGATTTGCTTCTTGTTTACTTGTAGCCTTTGATGGGTATACATATTCTCATATTAAGATGATGCTTTTGCTATGGTATATTTTGGAGTCCTATGCCACCAGTCTCGTCCCGGAAGCTCATACCAAAAAGATATGCCACACGTTTCATCCCGGGAGCTCGGGGCAATGTCATCTGACGTCGCTTTGCACGTCCTGAAACGACGACCGGTCAGAAGGGCCATCCCATCTCTCGGGGGTCAACAACATCGACGCACCATCAGCCCTCGTGTCACAGTATAAAACTCATGACTGGCCTCCGGCCAGGAGGAGACAAGAAAAAAAGAAGGAAAAAAACAATCCCTCTCGTTACTAACTTACTCGTCGGAGGGGCCACAACCGGATACCACCCAACGGAGGCCAGTTTTGCAGGAGGGCGACCACTCATCGACGGTGAGGGGTTCGGCACGGGAGCACGTTCTACCCAGCACCAAGGAGCGCGATCCCGACCAACGCCAACCTCATCCGAATCACTCATGAACCTAGCCGTGCTGACTCACCAACCACAACATACATGTATGTTGTTTAACAGCTTTCATTCTTTTCTTTTTTTTCTTTTTTTTCCGGCAATTGAGACAACGTCAGAAATAATGTTCAACCTTTCTAGGGATTGGACAAATAGATTTCTGATGTCAAGTCAAATTATAGATCCTAAATAAAATTATGTTCAAGACCATTCTACCCCGCATAAATAAGCATCAGTTTTCCCTTCTCACTGATCGTAATTATTACAAGTAAGAAAATATCTACTAATAGGAGAAAGATAGTTGTTGCTAAATAATCAACCAATCACAACAAAGGCTTTTCTTTTTTTTTTGCGTCTTATTATCTAAAGTTTCTTGATCACAATGTCACGCATTATTATCCTGACTTGATGTGATAAGATATTTAATCTATTAATTTAATGAGCTTGAATCATTGATTCAAGAATACTTATTCTCAAGTTAATACATCCGATGTGAAAATAAAATAAAACATACTAATTTCTATCATTCCCTCGAAGCGATCATTATCATTTCTTTTTTTTCTTATTTTTTTTATTTTTTTTACGATAAAACTTTTGGATCTTATCCATTTATATCAAAGCATCTCATTTCTTCTTTTTCTTTCACGATAAGATTTTAGGATCTTATCAATTGGTATTAGAGCATCCTCATTTCTTTCCTTTCTTCTATAATAAAACCTTAGGATCTTATCATTTGATGTCAGAATATCCTCATTTTTTTCCTTCTTTTATGATAAGATCTTAGAGTCTTATTATTTGGTATCAGAGTTCTTTCTTCTTTTATAAGACTTTAGGGTCTTATCATTTTTTATCATGAAGAATAGTATGGTATACATGAGACCCATGTTTTTTTATATTTAATTGACTCATAATTTTTTAATCATATTTTAATTAGATATAATAACTAACTCATTAGCTCAATAGGCTCGAATGATTTCAAGTATTACACTCTTTTAACGTTATAAAACGAACTATCAACTTGTGAAGCAAATCAGATAGTATGGCACGTCAAAGAGCAATTATATCCTTCTTAATATTTTAATTAAATTAAAATTCTAAAAAGAAAAGATAAGGCCGAATTATCGCGTTGAGTATACCGGAGGCTTCTGGACCCCTCGAAGATGCATGAACCCAACTCAATCATTGTACACTATGACGGTTTGAAATCATTGAACATTGTGACCTTCGTTTGTATATGTGTGTATGGATTAGCCAAAACAAGACGTCGAAACAGCAAACTCAATCATAGATTCTTTGCTCTAAACACATGAGGTTGACATTACATCTTGGTTTGGTTTCTAGTGGGTGGCCAAAGAACGGAACCAACCGCAAGCCTTCTTTATTAATACTGTGCTGAAAAAGAAATCGCACCAACAACAACGATGAACGAACGACCCAAAAGGAAAACATCACCTAACGTACGGACGTACGCAGGAGCAGAACACATGCTTTATTTACCTAATATACGGACGGAGACCATCGACACGGAAAGCCAGCAGGAACGGAAGGAACACATGCTTTGTTATTAGCCGCACGCCGCCGCCGCTCGTTATTTCTGAAGTGGACGGCGGTAGTCCTCTAGTTGTGGTGGCCAGGCAGCTTCTCCTTGATCTTCTCCATAATCCCCTTCTTCTCCGGCTCATATTGTGCTCCCTCGTACCCTCCCCCATAGCGTCCTGCAGCCTGGCTTTCCGCCTCCTCCGAGCTGTGCCCGCCCGGCAGCTTCTCCATGATTTTGTCCTTCAGTCCTTTCTTCTTCCTCCGCCCACCTTGCCCGTCGTCTTCCGACTGTTCCACGATAAGTTCAAAAGACCGTGCGTCATTAGCATATACGATATGATATCATATCATATGACGAGTCTATCAGATACATATACATATGTAGCATTTGAAGAATATATCATACGACGCATATGCCTATCATATACAGGACACGCAGAGAGCGGGAGATCATACAGAGCTGGAGCTTCCGGAGCGGTGGAGCATCCCGGAGATGCCATGATGTTCCTCTCTGTGCCCCTGCATCTGGCCACCGCCTCCTCCCATGCTTCCCATCATCCCTTCCTGCGAAGTGCGGCTCCCATAAGCACCGGTGCCGGCGGCAAGGCCAGCAGCGCCAGCGTGGCCCACGCCGCCACCGCCCAGATCGTAGCCAGAAGCCCCCGAGCGGCCCATGCCCATTCCGCCGCCGGTGCCCATATCGTAGTCAGACGCCCGCGCGCGACCCATGTCCATTCCGCCGCCCGAGCCCATATCGTAGCCAGAGGCCCCGGACCGGCCCATGCCCATTCCGCCGCCCGAGCCCATATCGTAGCCAGAGGCCCCAGATCGGCCCATTCCGCCGCCCGTGCCCATATCGTCGTCAGCAGGGCCCCTGCCGCCCATGACCCACTGCCCATCCCCAT